CCTAGTGTTTCTGTGATTCTGTGAAAACAGTCTGCAAGCTTCTGACGGTTTTTCCCCCCATCAGTTGCTTGCTCATTTTCGGGTATGATTCAGAGTACTGACCCTCTAGAGAGGCATGGTCACAACCTGCGAAGCCTCTCAATTTCACAGCCCTAAGGGAGTTCAAGAGTAGAAAACGCATTACTATTCCTGAATCTGTCAGAACATAGAAGTTAAGAGCAGCAGGACTCTCTCTCTCTCTGCTAAGAGCTCAAATCTCTCAAACCTGGACCCAACAGTCAGTAACAAGATCAAAGCAGAAAATAATTAATGTTAAATACAGTGTTTTTTGTTGCCAACTTTTGTTTCAAGGAATTTGATAACATCACGATAGCACTAAAAGGAGGAAGGAAAATTAGATATTCCCATGAGTAGATCCGAAACTGAACGATAAGGATTTAGATGTCTTCAGACAGACAGGAAAAAAAAAAAAGGATGGATCAAATTCAGTATCCCCCAAAAGCCTTTCAGAATCATGTGAGAGCTGTGTAACTTGCATGAATTAACAGGAAAAGCAAAAAAGAATTCTCAAGCCCATAACAAAACTAGTACAAGTTTACCTCTGCTACTAGCACATTGTGTTGCATCTTCTTCCTAGATTTCATTATCCGAACTATAGCAGCTTCTATCTCATGTTTTCTGTCATCATCTACTTTCTGCCTTGTTTCTTTCCTTTCTGGATCAGATTCTCCTTGTTTGGCAGCAACTTAAAGAGAAGAAAGAGAATGTAAAGTATGTTAGCAAAATTAAAATTAATTTCATTGTGCGTTAGCTTCACTATTCCATTTAGACATCAAGTTATATTTTCCTGAGTTTTGATGTTCTCAAACTTGATTTTATGAAAAGCAGTCACAAGAACATATGAACACTTTCTGGCATATTTTGATAGCAACTGACAAGGTAACAATCTGTTATTTAATTATTACTATGTTAAAATTTGAACAGTACTCAAATCTGCTTACAGGCACCACCAACCCCCATGCTCCCATTCTTCTTTTTAATATAGTGAATAATCCATTAATTAAAATAGAAAAAGGATTGAAAGTTTACTTCACAAACTAGTTAAATGCTTTTAAAAGTTCATCAATCAGAAGAAATAGTCCATCTTTATGCTCTCCAACTCAATTGCATTCTTTGTATTCGGTTCTCCTGTTTATGCTTTACTTCTGCACTTACGTCTAGCTTTTCTTACCCTTTCACCCAAGCATCATTATAACCAAGACCTCCTTCCTCCCACTGCTATACCACTTTCCTCTCTGCCCTTCTTCACTCAAAAGCCATGTAATATAATGTATGTAGGTACTACTGGGTTTTACATGCTTACAGCCCTGGACACAGCATGCTGCACAGAGCCCAACAAGTTATATTATGTGCAACAAATAGCATGTGAATTACCAACACTGCACTTAAAGCACTGCCAGTGATGCTGTATGTTTTATGTACTGAGATCTGCAAAGTCAGAAAATACTTTTAGATTTACTAAAACTAAGAACTAATCTTCCAAAATGCTCTGTGAAGTATGTCCACAGCAATGCTGTAACTCAGAAGTTATTTCCAGACAAAAGATATCAACATTACTTATGCGTAACTCAAGCCAGCATTTTGATGAGCTAATGAAGTGTTGTTGTACCGATCAGCTTCTCTAATTTGTTAAACCCAAATCATTGCCCCAAAACATTATAGCTACCTGGCACTTAGAAATGGCTGTTGTACCATGGGCTAAAAACATCACTCAATTTCACAGCAGTAAAGCAACTTATGAGGCAATTTTCATACTTCTGAATCAGTCAGTAACATAATTTTACTATTTAATTTGAATGTTATTTCTCTTTCAACATTTCCTTTTAAGAGATAACTACAAATTTTGTAAAGTAACAGGCTTAACTATGACCTCCACACTTTTCTCAGTACTTCAATTTTCATTTTGATGCAGCCAATCATCAACAAAAAAAATTTACTCTCTTCCTTTTACTTGTATGGACATCAATCCTGCAAAAGATAATTTGACATTTTAAGGCAATTTTGTGACTGCAAGACAGTAGAATATAAAGCTCACTTACCCGTCTGAATCTTGACTCTGTGTAGTTTAGATGTGAACTGATCATTCACTGTAAATATATGACCATTTTCTATTTCTTTTGATTTAGGCTCTTTTGTAAGAACACGTTGTGTTGGTTTGCCACATGCAAGGGACTGTAGGGCTCTAACCAGTTCTCTTTCAGGGATATCAGTTTCTTGTTGAATTTCCTAAAGAAAAATATGTTAATTAGTTTATGGATCTGGCAGATCTAAGTATCACATCTTGCAAACAGCACTGATTGCTTGAAATATCCACCTTCAAGCATGGAAAATAATAGTACTGTGACAGCTGTCAGGCTTGAAAGGTTAGAAAAGCAAAGTCTCAATAGCAAAGTTTCAGTGGCAAAGTCTCAACATGTACTGTGCAAAATGACCCACCTGGGTCAATGCATAGACAGTGCTTGAATTCTGTCAAGTAAATAGTCACCATGAGCTGACAATAGAAGAATGAATAACCACCTGTTTCATTTCACTGTAATTTTGAGAAGGCTGAAAGGATTTGTTCACTGTCTCCAACATTTGCTGAATAGAGTGAAACCAGGCCTTGTAACTCAGTGATGGAAAACATCTATGTTGTTCATAAGCATTCCTGACGAAGAACTGCGAAAATGCTTTTGCATTCAGCAGCATCGGTGAAAATAAGATCTTTACAAATGGAAGCAAACAAGGTCTAGTTTCACCATAACATTGAAATACTCTAGATTAATTATGCCTCCTTTCTGAATAACCTAAACCAATTTATTTACAGCCCAGATGCTCTTGGCTAGGACTTCTCCAGGTAAAATGAAAAAAAACCAAAAAACCCAAAACATCATAGTTCAATGTATGAACTTTGAATAAGAATGTTTGTAAAAACATGTACATAACTTGTTGCACCTCTGTCAGTATTCTTAAGAGTTCAGCTGAGAGCTGTATGTTAGGTAAGTCACCAACGATCATGAGTTAGGAAGCAAATTATAGCAGATGCAGAATGATCTCTTAACATGCTCTAGGAGTAGGGCAACTACTAATCCTTCCTCAAACCTAACTTGTTTACTGAGCTCCCATTCATTAGAAGTTCATTTTAGCCTTATCTCTATTTTCTTTTTATAGTTTGAGGAAGCTGCAGACATCTCTGATTTCATATTCCCATTCAGACTCTTGAGGGACCTCTAGCAGCTAAAGATTAAACTACCAAAGAGAAAAATAAACCCCACAGTCATCTAACTGCCTGTAAGAGCTGTCAGCTTCCCAGCTTCCCCACCTTCAGTTCCAAGAGCAGTATCAGGCTCTTCCGTTTTCCCCATAGATTCCTAATTCACATGGCACACAGGTCAAACTGATGACCTTCAGGCTAAAAGCAGCAGTAAGAACTCCCAGTGACCAAAATGCTAAGATCTGTAAAGAACTATAAAAAACTTGTTAGAATTTCTTTAAATAGTAATGGGGCGGGGGGAAGGCAGGGCAGAAATCAAACTTTGGAGTACAACTAAGTTTATTAAATAATGTTATTTCTTGAGCATACTCAAGTTTTTTAAAATCAACCCAGAAAAAAAAGCTACTCTTCTGTGGTCAGCCACCACTGACACCATACAGTAAAAATAATTTGGATGTACTGACCTCTACTCAGACTCTGTCCTTAATTACAGTGCATCTGTCATACAACATCTCACTGCCAGAGGCTCAGACAGAATATGCCTTAATTTTCAACTGTAGACCCAACATTACATGTAAAATGTTGACTTCATGTGAAATTGTGTTTTTGACAAGAGTTCAAATTCACTTGAATGAGGTAAATTAAAAAATAAATCAGTAAGTCTAAAAGTAAAAAAATTCAGAATTTGTAATACCTACTGCTTATGGATGATTGGGAAGTAATAAAGCATTCTCAAACTTAAGAGTATTCTTAGCATAATGCATTCAGAAATGTTCATAGGATTTGAAATAAGTGACATGTATCCACCTATTTTAACTATTTGTTAGTATCAAAATGCCTCTTCCCAAGCAGCTCACAGAAAGTTACTATTTCTTTGTTTATTGCTTTAGTTAAAACACAATTGTCACTTTCACACATTTCTTCCAGATCCAGCACAAAGTAGTATTCAAAAAACCCAAACCTGCTATAATCCTTTACATGGTCACAAACAAAAAGTCTTACTGAAATGGACTGACCAGCATAAGTCGAACAAACCACAAGGAAGGTGACACTTCGATTTTAGGACTTAGGTAAATGTAAAGCCTCAAGGCTACAAACCAGGCCAGCTTATTAATGATGTAATTAATGCCTGTGACATGCACATTCCCAAACTTTGATTTTTGATCAACATCTAAAATAAATCCTTTCAAAACTACATCACTTCTACATGGAAATACATACGCTGCTTTTGATGAAAGTGAAATGAAAAGCTAAAATGGAATTTGATGTTTTTTGATGCTAAACATCCCTATACTAACCACTATATATTTCTGTGTTTATTTTACTTCACTCTGGAGCATTCCAATTCAGCCACTAGCGTATGCAAACCATTTGGGTTTCAGAATTTATAAGCTAGCACTAAAATAAGAACCACAGAAAGAACTGCACTGCAATATGCTGCCTCAGAAGGCAAAAACTTCAAGTTGGATAAAAAAGCATAGTTATGAATGTAAATAGGGATAACAGATGCTCCTGTGCTCTCTTCTTCCCTCAGTCCGTAGCATGTCATTTTTCTGAACATATTTTTATATAGACATTTGATGTAACAGTGAAAAAAGTATACCTCTCTTCCCCCACCTCCAAAAATGCCTTATTTTAAAGACCATACTAGAGTCACGCACAAGAGCGGTACTGATTACACAATCTTAGTTCTAAAAATATTATCAAGTGAGCTCTATCTGGAGGCTACCAAAGACATGGTTCTAAGAACTGCCTCTGTCCAGTTCTACACAAGAAAAAAGGTTATTAGAAAAAAAATGTGCAAAAGGAAATTAGAAGGAAAAACATTATGTCATTTTGTTGAAATGACAAAAGAAAGTATTTTTGTTTATAAACTTCAACTTGTGTATCTCCCAAAGCAGAGATCAGCAAAAGAGAAAACAGATAAACCAGTTTTAAGTTCTAATCTCTCATTTTTGTGGACTTACTCAACAACTTTACTTCTGCTACTGCTGCATTTGTATTTCGTTTGTTAAACCTAAAGAATCAAAAACTTTCTCCTTATTTTTGATATCATCATTTAAAAATTATGCATTTCACCTTTTAAAGCACCAAGACATACTGTAAACTAACAGAAAAATATGTTGAGTATTAGATGAGACTTGATTGGAAGACATAGAATTTTGGGAAAAAATTAGCACTCTGTGAAGGCTTGCATGAATATCCTTCATCTTAGATTCAAGTAGCATTAACCTAGACCCACATGGCTACCAGTTCTTTTGCATATATAAAACGTTGCTGTATAGAAATACAATAAGTTCATACACTTTTGTGAAGGAATTTTGCTGTGCAATAATCCTTTAAGTTTCTGTAGCATCTTACACAAATTTTTTGCATCATCATTACCCCATTTTTTTCCTCTCAGTCCTCTCAGGCTTAATGGTTTTTAGGATTATTGTGAGGATCTTGTCAAGTTTGCAGTTAATAATCACACTGAATGCAAAACAAAACAGCTAAGTGTGTTCAACTGTGAAGGCAACGTCAAATTAATCTCTTCAGCTGTGACTCTGCAGCAACACTTGTATATCGGTTTATGCTTACACAAGCACGCACCACAAGTCATCTCTCATGCTATGTTGCAGTAAAAGCACTAATTTGATATGACAGAGAAGTAACAGTTGCCCAGCACTCAGAAATTAATCATAGTATTCAATAATCAATGAATAAAGATAAAATACATTCTACTCTGAAGTTTTCATAAGCTTTCCTGGCTGGAGTTAAAGACAACTCCCACACACTTCACCAAAGAAACCAAACAAAATAAATATGCAGCCTTAATGTTTTAGTTACAGTGGGACACACAGTAAGAGTTTAAGAACTCCCAAACCAGAAACAAAACATACACATGGACATACTTCTCTATCATCTGGTCTTAGTAAAATAAACTATATAATGTAGAGCATGTATTAAAAATAGTATTTTTCACTGCTCTACCAGTATTATTTATTCATAAATGGGTGAGGCTCTACTACTCATAAAGCCTACAGTTTTGTGGAATAAGGTAGCCACCAGCCCAATTTCAACACCAACTTCAAGGCGGGGGGGGAAGAGCTAAGTCCCCCTTTTCCCCTGCCTCCAAGTATTCTGCAGATAAAGTACTCAAAGCTGTAATGCTCCTGCAATAGATTTCACAACACACAGGACTCTGTGCTCTAAAATAATTTTTTTGAACTATGAGCAGTTTATTAAGAGCCTCTAATCAAACCCTGCCTTCCTTAATCCCAACTGAGACCATTTCAGAGAAACATTCTTTATTAGCAGGCTAGAAGTATGCCAAATAAGCTGAAAACAAAATCCAAACAAAAAGGCAAATGATTACTATGCATAGCACAGTCAAAAGTAGATGAGAAAACCTGGAAATCCACTCCGTTTCAAACTGCACCTATACTGCTTTTCAAGGCTGCCAATGCTCTCTCAAACAGAAGATAATGTCTAAAAAGAAACTATTAATTGACACCAACAATACAATGCTCAAACCTCATAGCACAGGATCCTCCCCCACTCCCAAAGCCTTCTTCATCATCGTCTATCAGCTGACCACTTCAACCTCTCCCAGCAATGCCCCTCTAGTCTCCTTGTTAAGAATCTATCTGGACCATCTTCATTATCTTTTCTGGCTCACCAGCACAGAATGAAAGTTCTTTGATTCATCCTACAGCTTACTCCAGCCTGCCAACTTAAGCACTTCAGTGTTTAAGAAGCCAGGATACAAACCCTTCTCCACCCTCTGGCCTCCAAATCCAGTTTCTCAAAGATAAAATGAGCAAATAGAGCCACCTGCTGCATTCCAACCTCAGCTTTTCTACAGCTCTATGGCCTAGCAACAAACACACTCTCAACTCTCTCCAACATTTCTGAAAACTTCTGTTCCCAAATCATTTCCTCCCCTAGGATTGCTTCCCAGGTGCATTGCTAATGCTCTGCTTCCTGTATTTACTGGCCAGATCCACACTCAAATAAAATGAGGCACCTGATCTTCAAAGGTCTTTTTAAGAGGGCAATAAAGTACCTAAACCAGTTCTTTAAAATCAGGTGAGAAAACCACAACTCTTACCTCAAATGTATACTTTTCTCTGTTGTTAAAGAGCATTAGTATCGTCATCTGGAAAGTGGACACTTGCAATATGTGCTTCCGTGTATTTGAGCCAGTTACTTGGGCACCTCCTACGCCAACCTCTGAGCCATCTTCCTATTTTAAAATTACAAAACTACTATTAGATTACTCACCAAGGTAAAATACTTTGCAGTGGAAAGATGAAAGTTTTATGATGAAATATTTATCTAGGAGATCAGTGATAAAATAGCGTACACCTCGTAGTGTAACAGAATGTCTCTCCTGCAGCTGTCACAGAATCACAAGGTGATTGAGGCTGGAGGCACCTCTAGGTCCCACAGCCCAACCACCACTCAAAGCCAGGCCTTTTAGAGCAGGATGCTCAGGGCTGTGTCCAGCATCTCCAAGGACAGAGACTCCACCACCTCTCTGTGGCCTGTTCCACTACTTGCCCATACTCCAGTTTTCTTATTCTTGTCCTTCAAATTATCCTATAGTAATACAACTTTAACATCCTCACAAATGCACATTATTAATACTTTGTGTTACAAAAAATTTATTTTCATTTTGCATTGCCTTCTATGTTCCCAGGCATCATGCCACTACTACCTCTAGATTAGCATTTCAGGGCTAGTCTAAATCACTACCAAATTATTTTCTTGTATACGTAAACATTAAGCATTGTACTTCTATAAACTCTACTAAGATTCTCATGTTTGGAGAAGTGTTGTCTACAGTGCTAGTGCTCTGCAGATGAAAATCAGGCTAAACCTGGCTCAACAACACTTTTTCACATTAACAAAAGGTACTCTGAAGAGAAACAAGTTTCATTTTACTTTTGACTCATTCACAGTCAAAAAAAACCCGAAACACTCAAACCATTGAGGTCTCTTCAAGATCAAAATTACTACTTTTCGATGAGGTAACAAAGAGATGATGCCGAGTGGTGCATTCAAATTTGATTTGGTGGGGTGAGGGGATAGGAAGTCAAAACAAAACTACAAAGAATCAGACTATAAAACCAATGGGAAGGCATTTTTTTTTATTCCTGTATTATCAGTGGGTAAGCTTTTATTTCACAAAGTTCTGAAGTAATTAGAAATGTGCATTTGCTTACTTCTAAAAAAACCAATACAATACTTTCATAATCTTGATACTTTACCTTTTTAACAGGCCCGTAGAAAGTGGCATTGAGATCTGCAGAACCCATATGATGCTGGAGTGTCAGCTGTCGCCCACTATGTTTGGCTAAATAAAATCTGTAGTATAATTGAATCAAAACCTTAATACATAGTTCATGTTTTGTATCTAAGAGGAAACTGCTTTACAGTTACATAGAATTTTCATAGCCATTAAGGACACTAAGAAGTTTTTAACTTTTGCTTTTTCAAAACATTAGCTCCTGTTAGAATTCTAATTAAAAGCTCCCAAAAACTCTAGCCTCATAACATGACTATTGCATTCTCTAATTTTCGTATGAACTCAAGAAGAACAATACGCTATCATGTCTTTAATGGTAAAACATATCTGTAAGTTAAATTTGGAAAGTTTCTTCTTAAAACTGTTACCTAAAAATCTGTTTCAATACATACCTTCTAAATATTTCAAAAGCATGTCTGGGAGCTGGAGGGATGTTGCACTTTGGTGTGGCTGACTGAGTAGGCCAGTAACCTGTTGTGAGGACCCGCACTGTAAGATCAACACCACCTAATGAGACCTAAGGACAATTGGAAGAAAACAACCACTTTTTTAAAAACAGGATCAAGTTTCACCATTTTTCTGTATCAGTGTAGAGTTTCTACCAGTGTAGAAAACAGGATTTTCACAGACTAAGAAAAAAATAGACATGTACCTATAAACATTATTTTTACAAAGCCAGACAAATGAAGTCATCACTATAAGAGTAGATGGTACAGCAAAAATCCTCCACATTATTCCACTCTGGCATTTAAGAGTGTACAGAACTTAAGAAAATAAATTCTTAACCAAGAATGAAATGTCTGTGATGATAAACAGAACTCATAATACACATAAGAATTCTTTGTTATATCTAAACAGGTTTTTGATGACATACAGTAAAGCCAGGTTGCTAAACATACCAGTTTCAAAATAACTGTTTCTAAATTTACTCTCTGGGAGCAGAGAGTAAATATTGAATATCTAGTGTTAAACCATAAGTAGCTTTTCCTGCAATTTACCTCTGGACTGCAATGTAAACAGTTACTTTTACACACACAATCTAGCCGCTTTCCCTAACGACAGCCATTACCGTAAATATTCAGCACTGGTTAGGAAAGATTCTACAACTGAAGTGCAGATCTATAAAGAAGTTCTGTTAGTAGGTGGTAAACATCTGGCTACCAGTGAGGCATAATCCTTAATAGGTATCTCAACTAAACTGAATATTATTAAACTTAGAACTGACTACTTTCAGCACTAGGAGGTGTAACTAGGAGGTGTATATACCTTCAAAGAACACATATTATGGACAAGAAAAACCCAAGCATACTATATCTAACTTGTTATAAACCTACCACATAGAAATAGAACACTTATTTTAGAAGGTCAAAAACTGTCATATGAACTCAGAAGCTTCCACTATTAAATAGCTGAGTAGCATTTCCATGCACTATGGAGGAGTTTTTGTATCGTGCATGTTGAATGCCTGTGTGCCCATCAACAAACTAGTGCCTAGGAAACGTCTGAAAAATCTAGACAGACCGGTGACAGGCTACTCATACAGAAACCCTCTTGACTGAATTTCATTAAGGTTTAAGAGGAACAATTTGCAAAAGTATGTAAAGACCCATATAAAGGTTGTTCTGTAGCCAACATTACTGCCATGCTTCTAATTTCCCATCACCAACGTCATGAGGCTCACGAGAAATTCAAACAGCCACACATACAAAAAATAGTTAATCTGTGAATCACCTAAAAAAAAAAAAGCTTCAACAGTTTTCTCCCTCCAGCCAAAAGGTAGAGAAAGGCCATCAGTGCAGACAGAAGGACACAGAAAACACCTTTATCTGAAACATCTTAGTTGAGATGGCAACTGTTTCCCGAATTTTCTGGTCTTAGCCAGACCAGAACACAGCATTAATTTAGAATGCTGCACATCATAAATTCTATGGAGCACTAAGCAGTTTGACTTGAAAAAATGTCGGAAGCACTTTATTTTACAAGTTGTCATTTCAGCATTAAAATAGTATGAACCAATGGAACATGCCTTGAAGTGATCTAATCCTTACAAAACTCCAAAAAACTGAAGTTTCAGGATCACCTTCTACTTAGTCATAGCAAACCAATCACCGTCCATGCAGTCCTTGGCACTACCTGTATCTCAGGATATAGGATCCAGCAGGAGACTTTGCACATAAGATTATTTAGAGAAGAGCAGATGCTTGACTCTTCCAGGAGGCACAATACGTATTCATGGTACACAAATTGTTTAAAAAGCAGTGGAATGGATTATTTCATACAAAACACAGTACCATAAGCAAGTTAACAGTAACTTAGAAACCCAAAAATCTTCCTGTTTCTATTTCCTCTCAAATATTATTGATACTAATATATATACCTCCATGATAAATAAATACTCCAGAAATTCAATTAAAAGGCCATGATTAGGCTGACCAAAAGGCAACCATCAGGCAAACTGCTGGTCCCTTACCAAGAAAAAGATGAAGTTTCAAATAAGGCCTAGCAAAATACCTGTTAACATTTTAAATTCATCTTAATAGCTGTACATAGCTAAAAATAATACAGAGACATCATTTATTAACACACTTAAAGTACATGAATCTTAACACAAAAAAACCACCATGTACAAGTCCCACATGCTACCTAGAAAATGGGAATGCTGTAACAAATTTTTCTTGAAACAGTATTTCAAGCATTCTAGAAGGAAAACATGATTAGCCTCTAAAGAAAAACAGCAGTAGTAAAGCTGCCTGTCCAAACACCTTTATATCTATCCCTATGAGCCTCCAACCTCTTCCGAAACCACTTTGAGAACATCCCATTCTTTCACTCACGACGATTCGCAGTACGCTGATGAGGAAGATTTCAGCTGACTGCTTCAAGACAGCAAAGATTTCAGATCACCTTGCACGACCAGGGACACTGAACAGAGTATATCCATGAACACATTCCTGGCATTCAGATTTCTGAAACCAATTCAAACACACTTGATAGACAGACTGACTTACCTGCAGACAGGGAACTACTTGGCTGTTTATTATATATTATTAAGCACTACTGAGTATCAGTATAGAAAAAAAAGTGTTTTGAGCAAGAAAACTGATATCTCAAAATAGAAGTGATCTCTCCATTATGCAATATTCTAGAGGTCCCCTTTTTACAACAAGGTGTAACACTTGATTGAAGAATTAAGTCCATATTTGGCAGTTTGAATAAAATGGTAGTCCTGCTTTTAATAAAGGCATTAACTGCATCAGGGAAGTTAAATATGAGATGGTACATTTGCCAAATACCTGCAGCATGCAATATTTTTCTTGCTGTCAGCATAAAATATGGGTTGCAACTAAGATTACCTTTAAAGAACGAGAAAGAGGAGACTTTGCTGGTGACACGGTGTTTCTAGAATGCACGTGAGAGCAGGCAGCCGGGCACAGCTGGGCGGGGAAGGCACAGCAGGGCGGGGAAGG